AGAAAAAAAATTTAAAAAAATGTAAAAGCAGGCCGAATATTCCAGGCCAGACAACCTCAAAGCAGGCACGTCGGATTCCTGTTACAGGGCCGAGTGACCATGCAGATTCTCCAAGGCCCTCACCAGACCTACTACTGACTAAGAATCTCTCAGGGTCAGTTCCTCAATGAGCTTAATAAGTACTGCAGATAATATCGGTTGCATTTGAGGCTTAACCAAAATGCCAGGCAGAATGTTCTTTCCTTAAGTGCATGTTTATGCCTTGAATGAAACCCGACCTTGCTCTCCCTGTTTGATCACCATTTTTGCATACCGGTCCCACCAGTGGACAAAGAGGCTGAGAGTGTGTGTGTTTCTTAACCGAGGCTTTACGCCATCGACTCCTAGCCCATCAACAGTGAGCGCCAACTCCTGATAGGAACAGAGGGCATGTCTCATATTCCTGACTTCCACATCATTTTTCTAGGCTAATTTCTTAAGCTACCACTGCACCAATAGGTAATAGAAAAGGGGCAAATAATGGAATCCCTAAGACTGAAGAACTAGGAGCAATAAGGCTTCCAGGAAAGAATGCTGATAAGGATGAAAGTATAAAAACTTATGATTTCCAAAATAACTATGAGATACCATCTCATCCCAGAAATAACATCAAATGCTGGCAAGGTTGTGGAGAAACAGGAACCCTTATTCATTGTTAGTGGGAGTGTAAACTGGTGCAACCACTGTGGAAGGCGGTGTGGCACTTTCTCAAAAAGTTGGAAATAGAAATACCATTTGACCTAGCAATTCCACTACTGGGAATATACCCTAAAGAAACTTGAACGGCCACCCAAGCAGATATATGCACACCCATGTTTATCGCAGCTTTGCTCAGCTTTGCAAAGAGCTGAAAACAACCTAAGTGCCCATCAACAAACGAATGGATAGAGAAGCTGTGGTATATTCACACAATGGAATACTACACTGCATTGAAAAACAAGGAACTCATGCAATATTACTCAAAATGGGTGACCTTGGAGGACATTATGCTGAGTGAAATAGTCACAAAAGGACAAATTGCATAGTGCCACTTTTGTAAAACAGGACTGACGTTGCGGTTGCAGGAAAACTGAGAAAGATGGGATAAATAATGTATACTGCATTGAAACAGATGAGGAAGAGAACTGTTTAAAATCTATATATGATTAGATATTATTGTCATGACAGGAGTCCAGAAAGAAGGCTGCATAGTGGAGTGGACTTGGGGGGTAAGGATTGTATAACAATGGAAGAATTTTACTTTTCAAAGAGAAGAGCAAATTGGGGAGGAGGGGGTGGGCAGGGAGAAAAATGCAACAATGAAGGAATGGAAACCCTAAGTCTCTGGAAAATGTCATTAAAATTAATTAAAAAAAAAACAAACAACAACAAACTCTTCTCGATTTCAGGTGGCTTTTTTCTTCATTTCACCTACCAGCAGCATGCAGGTACCCAGGAGAGGGGATACAGGGGAAGTTGTACAAAGAATGGCAATATTTAGTGATATGTACTATGTACTTACGCATGTTGTTATAGCTAGGTGCCATTGAGTACAACCTATAGCGACCCTATGAGCAACAGATCTGAACTCTGTCCTATCCTGTGCCATCTTCATACATTCTGACACACTAAAGCAAGCACATTGCAGCAATCACCGTATCAATCCACCTGGTTGAGGGTCTTCCTCTCCCTCACCAACCCTTTACCTTTCCAAGTGTAATGTTCTTCTCCAGGGAATAACCTCTCCTAGCAACACACCCAGAGTATGTGAAGCGAAGCTTTATCCTCTTTGCCTCCAAGGACCACTCTGGTTGCACTTGTCTTCAAGACATATTTGTTTGTTCTCTTGGCCACCCATGGGATGCTCAGTACTTCTCTCCAACTCCACACCTAAAAGGCATCTTCTCCTGCATTTGTATTCACTGTCCAGCTCTGAGATGCATAACCAGTGATTGGAAAGACCATGACCTGAATCAGAGTCACCTTAGTCCTCAAATGGACAGCATTGCTCCTCAATAATTTGGAGATGTTCCCGACTGCAAACTTTCCCAGTGCAGTATGTCTGATTTCCTGACTGCTGGTACCAAGAATGCTGATCGTGGATCCAAGAAGATGAAGTTATTGACAGTTTCACTTTTTTTTTCTCCATCTATTCTGATGTTATAGCACTGGTTTGTGCATTGCTGTACAGAAGTAACTCGTGGTTGTTGAGGTGATTAAACACTGACACTGTTGTGCCAAATGTGATAATGGTTATCCATGGTGGACAGTGTTTGGTGGAGTTCCCCGATTAAAAAACAAGCTTTGAAGCTGGAGTGGCATCCACTTCCGAAATGGCTTGCTTCTGGAAACCCAATGAACAAGGAGAAATGACCTAAGTTATACAAGTGTTCAGGTCTTTTCATTCATAAGGTCACTATGAGTCATCTATGACTCGATGGCACTTAACATCCTGATGTTGCCTGTTGGTCTAGTGGCAAATTTTTGTCTTCTTGATGTTCAAATGCAATCCATATTAAAGGTTGTATTCTTTGATCTAGTGGCCTTCTGGCAAGAAGCTGTGCTGCAATCCTGAAGGCACCTGGTTCGAGGCCACCAGCTGCTCAGCGGGAGGGTGGGCAATCTCCTCCTGTGTGATTAACTGCCTCTGAAAACCCGCTGGAGGGTCAGCTATGGGTCAGTTCCAACTTGACGGTACACATTCTCTGATCTTCTGCAAGAAGTGCTTCAAGTCCTCCTCACTTTCAGAAGTTTATGTCATCAGCATAACATGTTATTGATGAGCCTTCCTCTAATCTTGATGCCACAGTCTTCTTCATAGAACCCGGCATCTCGAGTGATTTGCTCAACATACAGTTTATATGGATATGGGGAGAGAATACAACACCGATACACTCTTTTCTTAATTTTACACCATGTAGTGTTCCCCTGGTCTCTTTGCACAATAGCCTCTTGGTCTAGGTAAAGATTTCACATGAGCACAGGTAAGCGCTCTGGGATTCCTATCCTTCTCAACTTATGACTTACAGTCAAATGCCTTTACAGTCCATAAAGCCTAAATATTTTTCTGGTATATTTTCTTTCTGACATCAGCAATGATATCCCTGACGACATGGCCTCTTCTAAATCCTACTTGAACTTCTGGCAGTTCCCTATCTATGTACTGTTGTTGCCGGTTTTTAATGATCTTCAGCAGTATTTTGCTTGCATGTGATATGGTATTGCTGGAGAGTTTCCACATTCTGTTGGATCACCTTTGTTCCAACAAGGTATCCAGATTGGATCCTTGTGCATAGAGCCTATTACGTGAACCAACCACAGGTTGGGTGATGGGAGTGCCTGGGATGGAGGCCCCATTCAAGCTGACTTGAAGGGTCTCGGGCTTCCCCCTGGCTGTCCCCTACCCCAGCCCACACCCACAAGCTCTCATGACCAGGTAAGATGGCCTGCTTTGTATTCATTCCCAAAACACCCTGCACCTACTACACTGTTCTAACTGGCCTCTCACCACAACCCCTCCACTCCCACTGTCTTCTTTAAAGTGGCAGGAGTTTGTTCCCTAGCGTGTGAAATATGAAAAGGGAGTTAGTTCCTCATGCACTGCAATCTTTAGGCCCTAGAAATATGACTTGAGGCCGGAATCCCAAACACCTTTGCACTCACCATTACTGTTCCATTGACTTGCTTTACACTAGAGAGCTTGGTTTATTTACCAAGAAATGAATTCTTTATGAAGTCCATGCAGTCAAGACAACAAAGAACATCAGATTTAAAGAGTGACTTTTTATTTGTGGGAAGCCAAATATCAAACTCAGTGTTAATGATAAACCTATTGCTCTATTAGGGTAAGAGAGAGGAGCAGATACAAGCTCAAATTCTCCAAGACAGTCTACCAAGGCAGACCTTAGGCATTTTCACAATGCTTGCATTGTATTTGCTAACCCCTCCCTCCTGAGTCAAGCAAAAGGTTTTCAACAGAAAGAGCTTAGCTTCATTTGCATAGAATTCTCTTTGTGATTTGCTCCCTGACAATTTTCGATGAAATCATGGGGAAGCTGGGTTTCCAGCTGTTCACCACCTGCCTTTCAGGTCTCTGTTTTCTCCTCCATTCTTGGTGTCCCATCTCTTTCTTGATTCTTATCCTCGGCCGACAACATTTCTTTTTCTGCATTGATGAATATACATTCAAAAATGTGCAGAGAATTGCTTTCTTACCCATTTCATGTTTGTTCCATGGCATTTTAGCCAAGGTACAAAGTCAGAGCTCATCAGGCAAAGCATGAAGACAGCCCAGGAGCCCTGAGCCAGTGTGTAAATTTTCTCCATATTCCCCAGTTATGGAAAACCGCCAGGACATACAAGGCTCTGGCGTATAGGAATGGCTCCACGGCTTGAAGAGTGTGTGTTTGAGAAACACAGGTGCTGGGAGGCTGGCGTGTGGCCGTGCACATCACTGAGCCGAGGAAGAGCAGAACCCTCGGCTGGGCACGTACATTTCCACTCTGGGGAACTATTTCAATAGCCATGAGCAATGTACTGCCCATGAAAATCAGGGGAAACTAGAAATCAAATAGTCCCATAAATAGGAGCATTTGTTTGCAGGAAGAAGGGATGAAAGCGTAGAAGGATCAGGAGACTTTCCAGGTTAAAACCACATTCTCATGATAATCTGCTCCTCCTCTGCCCTGAGCCTACTTGTTATGTCACAGATTCGGTGCCTCTGTGGTTAGAACAGGCTGAATGGATGCTGCGGACGTGGAAACACGGGGAGGATGTGGGAGTCAAATGAAGGAAAACTGAAAAAAAAAAAGAAAAGAAAAACCCACAACAAACAAACAAAACCCTAAAACTCAAACCCCAAACTAATCTCAACAATAATTTGTTTCTGGAACAAGGAGCTCTTTCTAATCGCATCTTCCGTCCCTCCTTTATCGCTTCTGAAATGCATCCTGTTCCGAGTGTCCGTCACACACATCTTCCGGTCAGGCGATTTTCGCCAGCCACTTCTCCAGCTCCCCGATGTCGGCAGGGCTACTGTCCCCTTTGCCACCCTTGGCGCTGCATTCCAGGAACTCGACTTTGAGGGGCAACTGTGAGAATTCAAATTCTTTGCCTTTCTTTCCCAGCTGAGTGGGGGCGGAGCTGGTGTTGTCCAGGGTGCTGGGGGCCGCGGACCGGGTCACCCGGAGGGTGTTGCTGTGGAAGGCAGGCAGGAAAGCAAACACAATTCAGTTTCATGCACAGCAATTAAAAGCCTTTAAGAAGACATCTTCATTCCTAAATATTTCCACACTCAAATCCTAAGTCATGAAGCCATCAGTTACACCTCTGAGATGACACTGACAGTCCTCTCAGCATTTCTCCAGCACTCTCCAAGCCCCACCCTTCTTCAGCGTGGTGCCCCTTAAAGCTGGTATGCTCTGGATGACATCCTGGAGTCTGAACTACACTGGAAAATAAAGTACGTGCTACAGTGCACTATAAAAACTAGTTTCTGGAAATAAATGTATCTAGATAATGACATTTATTTTTACTTTGATTCTATAGGGATATGATCTTAGCCAAACATTCTAAATTTTTTATTTTTATTTTTTATTATTATTTTGTGTGTGTGTGTGTACCATCAAATCAGATCTGACTGGTACAGGAGGAGATTGCTCCTCCTTTCTCCAGCAGAGCATCTGGTGGATTCAAACCATCTACTTCTGGGATTGCAGTGCAGATTCTTGCCACTAGGCCACCAGAGCGCCCTTAAAACACTCCAAATTTTAACATCTAACTGAAGCAAAATTACTACTGCCCAGCACAAAGTGAGAGTCTCTCTGGCAGATGGATTCCACCAGCTGATCCTTGGAAGATGGGCATTTGCCTCCGGTGCAATTCACAGCCTCACACACCCTGGAATGTCAGCTGAATCAGTTCTGACACAGTGGCCATGAATTTGAACAAGAACATCCCTTACTGCCACCTGCTGGCTGTAATAAAGAAATGCATGCTGTCTGCCATCCAGGCTGCTGTGTCCAGGGGCCATCCTGTCAGGTGCAGTCAAGCCCGTAACCACTGAGCCACGAGGCCATCTTAAAGAGATGCTGCTGTTGCAGTCAGGGTGCCATGGAGTGGATGCTGACTCACAATGACCCTGTGAACAACTGATCTAGTAAAAGGTAAATGGTGAAAAAACAAGTGGTCTGAGGAAAACATGTCTTTTAACACGTTGCCACACACTTTTTAAATTGACAACTGTGCTTAGAAACACAGTTGCCGTCATTTACGTCATTTACGGCAACGTGTTAAAACACTGGGACACCTGGGACTACATGACTTAAAAACAAAACGGATACATAAGCAACATCATAATGGCCTTTGTTCCTTAGAATAGGTTTTCTCTGGCAAGAAGCTGCACTGCAATTTCAGAAGTGCGCAGTTCGAATCCACCAGATGCTCTGCTGGAGAAGGAAGAACAATCTCCTCCTGTCCCAGTCAGATCTGATTTGACGGTACGCACACAAAAAAATAAAGGGGGGAAAAAAGGTTTTCTCATCAGAGTGTTTCCTTTACACAAGTCCTTAAGAAACATAATTTACTTTAGTAAAATGTGAATCACTTTTTCCTATCAAAATATTCGCTTTTACCTGCCCTGTATAAACTAGAACATAAATACATTGAGAAATCTTTTAAGTAAAAAAAGCCAAAATCATACAGCTCAATATATAAACTCAGACGTAAAAGCAAGTGAAATGATATGCTAACATAGCCTGAAGACAATTTGAAAAAGGTTCCAGTAGTGTATCATTTTTAAAAAAAAAAAGTAATAATTTTTTTGTGTGAGTACCATCAAATCGGATCTGACTGGTACAGGAGGAAACGCCCCTCCTTCTCCAGCAGAGCATCTGGTGAATTCGAACTGCATACCTCTGGGATTGCAGTACAGTTTCTTACCACTAGGCCACCAAAGCTCCCTCAGTAGTGTATTTTTAAACTCTTTCTAAATGTTTATCTCTTACTTCATCAACAAAAATTTCCAATGGCGCTTTTTTTTTTAAATTTTTTACAATTTCTAAAATCTCTATTTTCTACTACTAATGGCTAAACAGAGCCCTTGTGGTCTAGTGGTAAGCTGTGCTGCAATAGCAAAGACACACAGTTCAAATCTACGAGATGCTCTGCAGAAGGACTGTGATTTACTACCTCCGAGGACCTGCGGCACAGTCCGCTCCAGGTCCATTACGACTCCACAGCACACAATAACAACAATGGTAGGAGTAAATGGAGAATGAACTTTTTCCATTGGTCTGAAATCTTCTTTTTAGAAAGATTAAAAATACTTATAAGCAAGCATCCCATTAATGCTTTTATAATTCCATTAATTCCTCCACCAAGCATTTAACAGGCATATTTATATTCATTATCACCTTACTGTGAAAATCATACACAAGCGAAGAAAAGAAACATGAACAGGCTGTTTATGGTTGGTTCAAGATAGTTAACCAACATTCATACTTACAGTTCTTTTTCAAGTTGCTGCTGAATTAGTTTTGCTGATTTTGCCATTGTGACATCTGGAAAGAATTAAAGACATGTTTTAATTTACACAAGAAGACATCAGGAACAGACAGAAAGTTCCTACTTACACTATTAATATTCTCCCTACTCCTATTTTTTTTTTAAAAGATCTTCGAGGAAGCTCTGGTGGCCTAGTGGTAAGAAGCTGCACTGCAATCTCAGAGGTATATGATTCAAATCCACCAGATGCTCTGCTGGAGAAGGAGGGGCAATCTCCTCCTGTAACAGTCAGATCCAATTTGATGGTACACACACACACAAAAAAAAAATAATAACAAATTTTTTTTAAAAAAGATCTTCTATTACTATTATCTTCTATTATTAGTTCTTTCCCCATCAAGAGTAATCTTTATATTTGCACAAAAGAATTTCCCTAAAGTTATGTTATATTGGTGGCCCTAAAAATGACAACTATCTCCACCCAGTAGACTTTTTAAATTAACACATATATAAGTCCAGCTAAGAACACTGTTCCAAGGGTACAGCACTCTTCTGTCAGTTTGCTGTGCTGAGGTAACTTGAGGTTGTTGTGATACTGAACACTGCGCCACTGAAGTGTCAATTATCATAATGGTTACCCATGGTGGACAGGGTTTGGTGGAGCTCTCAGATTAAAACAGGCTTGGAAGCAGGATTGGCATCCACTTCTTAAACAACAGGCCTTTGGAAATTATGAACATTAAAGAAATGACAATAGTTAATAGAATAGGGTTCTGATCTCTTGTTGGTGGGGTCACTATGAGTCATACTGGACTCGATGGCACTTAACAATAACATTTTAGTTTAGTATAGCAAAAACAAATGCTGTTGACTTTGTAATTTTAAGACGTGTCTTCATTTCAGCAGGTAATACCAGACCCTGTCACTTGAAAGTAAACACTGCGTATTTTCAGCTGATGCTCCAATAACAGGTCCAAGTGTCAGATGCACAAAGAACTACGTTCTGATTCAACAAAAAATGTTAAGGGCTCCCTTTGTACTGAATAAAGAGTTGGTCAGTCACTCTGAGACCACATTTCTGAAAGGACACGGCTAGGGCTGTGACTTGATCACTTCTGAGAAATGCCCTGGGCTCTTCAAAGACACACAATTTCAATGAGAAACAGGCCCGCAGAGATATTTTATCCACTGATCTTACTGTACAGGTGAGGGAACCAAAACCTAGTTTAACTGGTTGTGACTAGGAAGTTGCTACTGGGTAACAGGCTAAAGAAACACAACTTTCCACAAACTCTCATGGAGAAATTCTGCTTGAAGGTAAAGTTGCTTGACTGTACCCTGTACAAAACTGTGTACGTGTAATCAGATACTGTCAATATCATTAATGTAACTAGAGAAATTAGAACTTAAAAAGAAAAGCAACACTATACCAAAGGATATTTGTTAACAGTTTCTCTGTTACCTTTCATTAAAACATTCTGGTAAAAAGGGACAAAAAAGCTAGGAGCAAAATAATAGGTTTTTAAGATTTAAAAAAATCCTTGAACTCACAGCCATATATACGTGTGTGTGTGTGTGTGTGTTGTTGTTGTTGTTATGTGCCGTCGAGTTGCCTGTAACTCACAGCGACCCTATGTACAACAGCCCTAAACCCTACTCTGTCCTGTGCCAATCGTATTGTCTCTGACACACCTATCCCCATTATGCCAGTCACTGAATGAATCCACCTCATCGAGAGTCTTCCTCTCCTGCGCTGTCCCACCACCCTCCCAAGCATGACGTCCCTCTCCAAGGACAGCAAGCACTTCAGGTCCTCCTCAGTCTCAGCAAGCAGGGTTGTGTCATTTGCATAAAGAAGATTGTTGATAAGTCTTCCTCCAATCCTGATGCGACATTTCTCCTCACAGAGCCCAGCCTCCCAGATAATCTGTTCTGCATACAGATTAAAAAGGTATGGAGATAGGACACATCACTGGCAACTACCATTCACAATTTTGAACTATGGAATGTTCCCTTACTCTGTTCTGATGAGTGCCTCCTGGTCCAAGTATAGGTTTCACATAAGCATGATCAAGTGTTCTGGGATTCCCACTCTTGTCAGAGTCAGCCAGTTTGTTGTGATCCACACAGTCAAATGCCTTTGCATAGTCAATGAAACACAGACAGAAATTCCTCTGGTATTCCCTGCTTTCAGCCAAGTTCCATCTAACATGAGCTACAATATCCCTAGTACCACGACCCCTTTTAAGCCCAGCCTGGACTTCTGGCAGTTCTCTGTTGATGTGCTGTTCCAGTCATTTTTAGATAACATTTAGCAGAATCTTGCTTGCATGTGATACTAATGATATTGTTTGATAATTTCCACATTCTGTTGGCTCACTTTTCTTTGGAATGGAAACAAATAATAGATCTCTTCCAGTCAGCTGGCCTGGTGGCTGTCCTCCAGATTTCTTGGCACAACTTGGTGAGCACAGCTAGGGCAGCATCTGTTTGTTGAAAAATGTCAACTGGTATACTGGTAATTCCTGGGGCCTTGTTTTTTGCCAATTCTTTCAGAGCAGCTTGAACTTCCTCTTTCATCACCATAGGCTCTTGCTCTTAAATTGTTTCATGAAATTCTTCGGTGTCCGCCAATTCTGTTTGGTACAATGACTCTGTATACTCCTTCCATCTTCTTTTAATACTTCCTGGATCATTCATTATTCTGCGCAACACATCCTTAAGTATTGCAACTGGAGGGTTGAATTTGTTCTTCAGTTCCTTGAGCTTAAGAAATGCTGAGCGACTTTGGCTCCTTTGATTTTCTGACTCCAGCTCTCTGCATATTTCATTACAATACTTTGTCTTCCCATGCTGCCCTTTGAAATCTTCTGTTCAGCTCATTAGTATCTTGATTTCTTCCCTCTGAGCTGGTTTCTCAGCGCTCTAGTGCAATATTCAGAGTCTCTTCTGACATCCATTTTGGTCTTTTCATCCTGTCTTTGTAATGAGCTCATGCATTCTTCCTGGATGTATTCTTGATATCCTCCCCTAACTCATCTGGTCTTCACTCATTTGTGTTCAAGGCCTCAAACCTGTTCCTGAGATAGATTTGAAATTCAGGTGGGATAGTCTCAAGGTCCTAGTTTGGTGTCCATGGAATTTATTTTCTTTTCCTTAGCTTCAGCTTGGAACTTGCATATGAGTATCTGGTGGTCTGTTCCACATTCAGAACCTGGTCTAGTTTTCACCTGGGCTTCTCCAGTAGTTCTTTCCAGAGAAGTAATCAATCTGATTCCTACTCATAGCATCAAGTGAAATCCATGTGGATAGCCTGCATTTATGTTTCTTATAAAACGTACCTGAAATGAATAAATCATTAATTATGCAAAATTCTATCATTCTACCTCCAGCTTCACTTCTGTCACCAAACCCGTGTTTCCAACTACTGATCCTTCTTCTCTGTTCCTAACTTTTGCATTCCAGTCACCCATTATTAATACATCTTGATTGCATGTTGGATTAATCTTTGACTGCAAAAGTTGGTAGAAATCGTGTATTTCCTCTTCTTTGGCTCTGAATGATAGTGGTATTCACTGGACTTCCTTGTATCTGTATGGATATTATCCTGTCACTCCCAATATTATATTTCAAGATGGATCTAGAAATGATTTTTTAACTATGAAAGTAAACCCATTTTTCCTTACCTTTTCATCTCCAATATAGGAGATCATGAATGTCTGACTCAAAATGCCCCATGCCAGCCCATCTCGTCTCACCACTGCCTAGGATGTCAATGTTTATGTGGCCCATTTCTTCCTTAACAATATCTCATTTTCCTACATTCATTGCTCTCACATTCCATGTTTCAATCACTAGTGTCTGCTTACAACTGTTCCTCCTCCTTTGTGTTTCCATACTTGAGGGCTCCACCTCAGCTGCCTATCTGCTAGTCCAAGAGGCTCTACTATATATAGTTTTTGAAGGCCTGCTATTTCGGAAGTGCATGGCCAATCCTTCTTCCTAGTCTGTCTGATCATTCCTAATTTGAATGATCAGACTTAGAACAGTATCTGACCAACAAGCATTTTACAGAGAAGAATACAGTGTGGAAGGGAAGAGGAGGGTCTAGAAGAAAAACAAGGCTCAGGAGGGGGGACTCAGCTTCCCCTCCACCAAACAGGTACGCCCACCTCTCCCAGAAGTCAGCAGATCAAGGTGGAGCCTGTATTCTTTGAGGTCTTCAGGCCAAGAAAACAACACTATATACCAGATCTACAGAGGACATCATCCTTCCTTGGGAAACTATTTCATTGTGACTACAGTGTGCTACAAATGGGAGGGAAGAGGCCTTAAGCCCCAAGAAGTCACTGGGAAAATCTGCTGTCATGGACCTCTCCAGAGTGCTGAAAAGCAACAATGTCAGTCTAGATACAAAGGTGCACCTAATCCAGGCCATGGTCTTCTCAATTACTGGTTATTCTTCAGAAAGCTGGGCAATGACTAAGAATGACAGAAGAGTAGATGCCTTCCAGTTGTGGTGCTGGAGAAGAGTCTTCAACATACTGTGGACTGCCAATTAAACAAATTGGTCTATCTTGGAGAGGGTGAAATCAAACCTCTCCTTGGAGGCTAGGATCTTGAAGCTCTGCCTCATTTACTTTGGGCACATGGCCAGGAGAGATCGGTCCTTGGAGAAGGACATGATGCTTAGAAGGGTGGATGGACAGCCCAGGAGAGGGAGACCCCTGATGAGATGGACTGATACAGTGACTGGGGCGATGGGGATTGGTGTGTCAGAGTTAGTGAGACTGGCTCAGGAGAGGGAAAGGTTCAGAGCTGCTGTACACAAGGTCACTATAACATCGCAAGTGACTCAATGGCACACAACAGTAACATACCATGAGAGGTTTGGAAGCAGGAGTGGCATCCACCTCCTAAACAACATGCCTCCGGAAACTCTATGAACTTTGGAAGATGTCGATAGCTGTAGAGGGGCATCAGGCCTTCTGTTCACAGAGTTCCTATGAGTCGTGCTTGACTTGACTCGAAGGCAACCAGCAACAACAACAGCATCATCAATAAGAAAATGAGTTGGTTACTGTACTAATTATGTTGATACCCATCCCAGGATAAAGCCACCATCATGGGCAGCAAACGCGGCAGCACCTTGCTTGTTGCAGGCTATCAAAAAGGACGGTGCATTCTTCAGGCTCACGCTGTCCAAGAGCACTTGGTACAGGAACTCGGCCACATCCTTCACCTCCCGCTGAAACGTCGCACTGTCCACCACAAACACGACAGCCCTGGGGGGGCGGGAAAGAAGAGGCGGCAAATGAGCACAAAACGGGACACTGTCACCACGGCAAAGATGTGCCCGGAATGGCCCCAGCAAGGCTTGGCCTCATTGTCCACTCCCTGTCACCCCCGGTATGTGCACATATCATCACACACTGTACAAACAGCTCAGCTGCAAATGTTCGCACAGCACACCCAGACGCATTCAGCGCTCCTGTGGCCCCACGGCTGTGCCCTGCACCCAGGAAGATGGTAAGCTGCCGATCCTCAGAGACCAGGAAGTCACCATCTACAGGACACTGTGATCACACGCTCGGGGAGACCTAGGCACGTGCCGTAAAAGGGACCGAGAGGAGGATTTTTAAATGTGAGCACATCAAAGAACACTTGAAGGAAGGATGTAAGAGCAAAATCTGGGGCAAAAACGGGAAATGAGGATGGGCAGGGTAGAAAGATGTGATGTCTCGGGCCCTGCAGAACAAAAGGGAAGCCGGCACCTAGGTGGTGTGGGTGCACCGTGGAAAGTGAATGGTGGAGTTGACGGTTTTCTTTGCCTTCCCAAGAATACTGGTGCCTGAGAGGAAGACAAATCTTTAAGGCCAACATGGAGCAGCTGCCATGTGCCCCAAACAACGAGGTATCAGAGCTACAACAGAGCAGCCAGAGGAAGAAAGATAAGATGCTGGCAGCCCTGCCTTCAGGGCGTGAGCTGGACCAGCACCGGGAGCTGGAACTGAAGCAGGAAGCTCAAGCATTTAAAGAAGCCAGTCTACTCACACCCATGTTTATTGCAGCTTTGTCACAATAGCAAAGAGTTGGAAAGAACCCAAGTGCCCATCAACAAACAAATGGATAGAGAAGCTGTGGTATATTCACACAATGGAATACTACGCAGCACTGAAAAGCAAGGGACTCATGAAATATTATACAAAATGGGTGACCCTGGAGGACATCATGCTGAGTGAAATATCTCAGTCACAAAAAGAAAAATAATGCATAATTCTACTGTTAAAAAAGAAGCCTGACATAGGACTTAGGGGGGAGATGGAAAAAGAGGGAATAAATTATGTATACTGCATTGAAACAGATGAGGGAAAGAACTGTTTAAAAGGGATATGTGATTAGGTATTTTTGTCATGACGGGAGTCCAGAACAAAGGCTGCATAGTGGAGTGGCCTTGGGAGGAGGGATTGTATAACAACGAAAGAATTTTTCTTTTACTTTTCTTTTTTTTTTTCTTTTACTTTTCAAAGAGAAGAGTGAACTGGGGGGCAAGGGGTGGGCAGGGAGACAAGTGCAACAGTGAATGAATTGAAATCCAAAGTCTCTGTAAACTTTCATTAAAATTAATTTAAAAAATTCACAAGAGAAAAAAAGCCATCTGCTGTACAATAAACACAAAAATTCTACCCTCAAGTCAGAACTGGTCAGGTATGACTCCCAGCTGGGTTTTCGAAGCTACACACTCATGGGAGTAAACTGTCCCCGTTTCTCCAGCAGAGCCATGTTTTGCTGTTGTTATTGTTGTGTGCCTTCAAGTCAGAACCAACTCACAGCTGACCCTCCAGCAGTTTTCAAAGGCACTGGAGGGGGCCTGTCGATCCTTCTTCCATGGAGCCGCTGGTGGATTTAACTCTGTGACTAGCTTACCACTAGGCCATCAGAGCTGGCACTCAAATTTCCAGAGAGGCTTGGCTTTGGATTAGCAGTGACACTCTCTAGTGACTGTGCCAACAGAGCTCCCAAACCCAAGAAAGGGAAGCAGAGAAGCTGTGCCTCTGCCTGGGGGAAGCCTGAAGAAAATGTGTCAGCTGTGGCCTTAACAGGGGAAAATCCAATGGCACTCGAACCACCCAGCCTCCAGTGCTTCACATAGATGTGGGGTCTCTGACTGTGAGGTCCACAAACTGAAAGACTAGCGCAAAAACTGGGCCAGATTCAGGGAGTCTATGGTCCCTCTTGGGGAAAGGAACATTCATATCCAAAAGCATTTAAAAACATCAACCACAAACCATGAAAGATCCACACCCCAAAAACTAGAAATGCAAAGAAAATGTATAAAGCAATTGTGTTTAGAATTCTTTAAGAGCCCACTGGAAGCCATACACAAAACTGCTTTTGTTAGCTGTCAGCAAGTCAGTTCTCTCTCAGAGGAATCTAAGGTTGAAGAAAAAGGTTAAGTATTTTAGAAATTTAAAGGATAGAAAATGAACTTGTAATTTAGTGAAAAGGTAAATAGAGATTACTCAAAGATGAAAAGAGTGTCTCCATGTGTTAAACTGGAATATAAATCTGAAGGAGTAACAATACAAGGTTATAAAGTACAAAGACTTGGAAGATGTAACACAGAAGATGCAACCAGAGAGCAGAAATAACAGTTTAATCAGAGATCCAGAAAATGAGAAGTGAGACTCGGGGAATAACAGGGTCTCAAAGCCAGTGGTGAAAATGACCCAGGACTGAAGATCACACTTGAATTCCAAGCATGACCAAATTAAGGCCACCCCTTGGGACACACAGCCAAGTCTACTCCTAAATAGAGGCACGGGGGCAGGCAAATTACCCACAAAGAAATGACCACCAGGTTGATAGCAACCATTTCACCAGCAACAGCAGGGTCTAACGTCAGGAATAAGACCTTCAGTTTATTATTTTATACTCAGCTAAAAAAATTAAAAAGTAGGCCTGATAATAACAGTTTCAAATAAACAAAGGACAAGAACTCTTGCCACTTATTCATTCTCCTGAGAACACTTTTAAACAGTATGCGCCCCCCTGCAAAAAAACAAAAACAAACAAACAAAAAAAAAAACAAAAAACAACCCAATAACAAAACAGTATACCCAGAGCAGGTAAAACCTAAATCTAAAAAAAAAAGAGAAAAAGAGTGAGGTATAAGAAGCAATAGGGAGCGAAGGAGCAAAGACCTCCATCAGCATCTTGGTAAGCAGTCAGTAATCACTGAATATGAGGGGGAAAACATTAAATGTTGGGGGCTTAAAAACAAGAGGAAAAATGAAAGAACTTACAGTTCAAGACAAGACAATAGATACTACTAATTTCTACAAAGAGTAGAAATAGAATACTTCTAAATCAGAATAAGCTAGAAGAAAAGATTTTAAAATAAAGAAATAAATGATGGGCATATATTCATTTATGACTAGAGGGAGTTCTGGTGGAAAGGAGCTGCACTGCCAACCCGAAGGCACACGGTTCAAATCCAGCAGCTGCTCTGTGGGAGAAGGATGGGCAATCTCCTCCTGTGCAATTCACTGCCTCTGAACACCCGCTGGAAGGTCAGCTATGACTCTGTTCCAACTCGAAAGTTCATAACAACATCATCAAGATGAGGATTTAAGTGAGTTCAGTTTTTTCAAAACTTTTTATTACAACTGTAGTGAAAGCTTACAGAAAAGAAGTGGTTTTCCACTTAAGTCATGCACTTTACGTTGTGTGTGACGGATGATAATCCCCACTGTGTAACAGCACTCTTCCTCCTCCCTCTCTATGAGCCCCATTTCCATCCTTCTTTTTGCCTACTCCTTCCTGCCTCCTGCGTTCTATCTCTGGGCAAATGCTGGCCTTGGAGTCATCCTCATCTCCAAATTTTAAAGATAACTTATTCTATTTACCCAAAATAGCTGGAACAAAACTAATTACACTTTCAGTCATTTAATATTTGGAATTGGTAGGAAAAATACTATTTTTGACACATTGATGGCAAAATTTAAAATTAAGGGAGCTCAAGTGGCCTAGTGGCAAGAAGCTGTGCTGCAATCCCGAAGGTACACGGTTTGAATCCACCAGCTGCTACACAGGAGAAGAAAGGACAATCTCCTCCCATGCACTTAACTGACCCAGTTATGGATCAGTTACGACTCCACAGTACACAACAACAACTTGGTACAATTACCCTTGAGAGAACACACAGAGATGGATTGCCTATGATAAAACAATAATAAGTTACTGAGTTGGAGATAACTCAATTGTCTGAGAAATAAAAGTCACATAGCACGGTCATCTGTGAGCAAGCCCACCTTTCTCCCCCGGAGGATTCAAACCTCCAGAGGCTCCACCTTCGGGTGAGGAGCACAATTCCCTATAGACTCTCTAAAAATCTAAGCCTAAAGCCTAAAAATGGCCACTTCAGAAATAACAACCAACTGTCACATTTGGTCGAGTCTAAGATGGCACTATTTAAGACAGCTGTTTTCTGGTACCACTAAGAAAGAGAAAATACTTCCACTATCAACTCTCAAGTTCAAAGATGATGAAATGTGTCACCATCAGTTTCTATCCAAGAACAAGTAAGAATAAAGTGTCTCAAACGGTGGCGCACATATTTAGAGAAAAGACTTGTAACTGCCAATTCAGAGCTGAGATTAGATATTAAAAGAAATGGAAAAATCTTTTTCTGAACTCTGAGGCATTAATTTAAGAACTGCCATATATAATGCTAGATTTTAATAGCTTCTAAGAGCCTTAGCTTCAAAATTCTTTTGAAGATTTTAATAGTTTTACTTGTAATTAAATTCACCTCCAAGGGAAAAAAAATTTGTAACAAATGTAAATAAGAGTTAACAAATTTCCAAACACTCTAAGACGTCCTTTAAATATTTTCTGTAATCTTCACAAAAGCAACCCGGACTGGCTGAGCCCAGGCCCGACTTCACTTCCACTGCACGGTCCCCACGCTCTCTCCCAAGCAGCGACAGCAGTCAGCACAGTGGCCTCAAGAGCAACATCTGAACCCACTTCACGTCTTCCTACTTACCTGGCTGAAGCCTTAAAACGCTCTAAGAACTGAAGCCTCAAACTCTCATGGCCAGGGAGGTCAATCAAGGTCAGGCTACTTCCCTAAGGATGAAAAAAAATAATAACAAGAGCAATCATGTTATTAATGTATAATTTCATAATTAATAATTATTATTTTATTAATAATTATGGTCTGTGCATTTGCTATATAGAGGTAACTCATCGTGGCTGCTCTGATGCTAAACACTGTGACAGTGATGTGTCAAATGTGATAATGGCTACCCATGGTGGACAGCGTTTGGTGGAGCTCCCCAATTAAAACAAGCTTGGAAGCAGGAGTGGCATCCACTTCCGAAATAGCTTGCCTCCGGAAACTCCATGAACTTGGAGAAACGATGAACGTTATCCAAGTGTTCAGGTCTTTCGTTAATAGGGTCACTATGAGTCACTTACAACTCGACAGCATTTAACAACAATAACAAGATAATTTATAATTATTACTACTAAGTATTTTTACTAATAATATTTATATAATAATTAAGTGTAAGATACATTACACATATATTAAAATAATTATTCATAATAATTAATTTATATTCAGAATATGAACAATAACAACAATAATATTTCAGTCCAAGTCCATGTTTGGCAGCACGGACACTTAGTACTGGATTTCAGGTAGCAGATCCATTAACGAAGGCCTTGAGCTAATGTTCAGTGAATATCTTAATTTGAAAATTAGTTTAGTAGAGATCTAACTGTGAATAAAGGCAGACATGGTCTCTGCTCTAACACAGCTTATTGTATGAGGAAGGTCAACATAATGTAAAATGACATTTGATGTTACAGCTGCAGCTTCGATAATGGTTCTAAGGGCACATCAGAACCCTGGTCCTGTCTGGAGGAGGTAGGGAAATACGTCTATCTGAGGATTAGGTGATACACTAAAAAAAAAACAAACAAAAAATCCACAACCCTTAAGCTCATTAGCATCGAGCATGAACCAACTGACCTTCCAGCAGGTAGTCAGAGGCCATAAATCACATGGGAGGAGACTGCTTTATCTTTCTTCCAGGGAGCAGCTGGTGGATTCAAACTGCCTGCCTAGGGGCTGACAGCACCACTCCTTACTCACTACCCCACCAAATGATACACTGTTGTTGTTGCTGTTATGTGCTGTCAAGTCCCTTGGGACTCATAGCGACCCCCTACGTACAACAGCCCTAAACTCTGCTCTGTCCTGTGCCGATCTCATTGCCTCTGACACACCCATCCCGATTACCCCAGTCACTTAATCAATCCACCTCATAGAGGGCCTTCCCCTCCTGCGCTGTCCCTCCACCCTCCCAAGCATGATGTCCCTCTCTAATGACTGGTCTCTCCTTACAACATGTCCAAAGTATGTCAGACAAAGCCCCAGAATCCTTGCCTCCAAGGAGCCACCCGGTGTAACCCTCTCCAGATGAATGTTTGTTTTCTTAGCAGTCCATGGTAACCTCAATACTCTTCTCCAACACCAAAGCTAGTATGATTAAACAGAAAGTCATGAAAAAACAGCAACAAATAAATCAAATTTAAAAAACAAAAACAAACAAACAAAAAACCCCAAAAAACAAAAATCTGCAGCTCTTGAGTCAATTCCAACCCAGGGTGACCCTTTGGCAAGTTTCTAAGGTCATAAATCTTTACAGAATCCATATCTTTTCCCTGCAGAGCAACTAGTGGATTCAAACCACCAATCGTCTGGTTAGCAGTCAAACCAATGACACACTACTCTACCTGGGCCCCTAAAGCTAAGGATCTAAGTGTTACTATACAACATGACAGGTATCTGAGGGATCCTCTATCTTTGTAACATAGCACCTTCTTATCATTTCTACCTCTAGTTTTTTAAAGGTAGATTTTAATTTTTTTTTTATTTTTATGTGTGTGTACCGTCAAATCAGATCTGACTGGTACAGGAGGAGATTGTCCCTCCTTCCTCGGCAGAGCATCTGGTGGATTTGAACCGTGTGCCTCTGGGATTGCAGTGCAGCTTCTTGCCACTAGGCCACCAGAGCTCCCCTTAAAGGTAGATTTTAAAGGCAATCTGTCGAGTAGACACACACGTCTTTTACCACGCTCTCGAATACCTGGTCCCAAGTGTACTCACTGAAACACACTGGGCTGTGACCCTATTAAGAAGCCCCACAATGAATGAATGGAGATTAAAAAAAAAAGCCCCATTCACCACTGCAGATCTTCACCCCTGACCTCAGGATCAATGGAGGTGCAGCTATTACGCTCAGGAAGACCATTATATGTAGCCCTGGTACACACATCAGACCTATTACTGACCGCTGCTCGGATAGATGTTCCACTTCCCCCACAGGCCGACACGACCACCAGTCCCCAGGAAGGAGCCAGGCAGCATGCATCGCTTTCCCACAACTCCCGTGGACTTCACTATGCTCTTCCAGGCTGTGCAGCCCCCACAAGGGTAAGTGTACGATGTCAAAGCAGCCTCTTAATTTGAAGTACAAGCATTCCAGCTTGTGACCTCATACTCCATTTCAAATTAGGTACTATACCACAAACCATAAACAACCAGAGACCCATGACGATTTACAAAGATTAGATCTAAAGGCTAGGAAAACAAACAGATTCATCCTAGAGAGGGTTAAACCGGGTGGCTCTTTGGAGGCAAGGATTCTGAGGCTTCGTCTGACATACTCTGGACATGTTGTGAGGAGAGACCGGTCCTTGGAGAAGGACATCATGCTTGGGAGGGTGGAGGGACAGCGCAGGAGGGGAAGGCCCTCTATGAGGTGGACTGATTCAGTGACTGGGATAATCGGGATGGGAGTGTCAGAGACAGTGCGATTGGCACAGGACAGAGCAGAGTTTAGGGCTGTGCTACACAGGGTCGCTATGAGTCGCAAGCAACTAGACGGCACATAACAACAACAGATCTAAAAGCCAAGGGGTGGGATGCGAGAGGAAAGTAGGTAAAATGACTAGTGCATTTTCTATAGCAGCACCATGCTGTAAACAGTGTGCAGCTAACAACTTTACATTTTCTATTTGTTGTGGAGGCAAGGATTCTGAAGCTCCGTCTGACCTACTCTGGCTGGGCATGTTGCAAGGAGGGACCAGTCCTTGGAGAGGGACAACATGCTCAGGAGAATGGAGGGATAGTACAAGAGAGGAAAACTCTAGATGAGATGGCTTGACTCAGTGACTAGGTAAAATGGAGGTAGGTGTCTCAGCAACACTTGCTGCTGTTGTTCCGTGCCATTGAGTCACCTGCAACTCACAGACCCCAGGTCAAATAGCTGTGGACTACTTCCTATTCTGAGCCTGTCTCACTGTCTGTATTACCTGGATTAATGAATGACCTTATAAATCTTAAACTATAAACCCAGAATCTTTGGGAGTTCAAGGAGAACTGGGCCAGGAACATTGCCATCATTGGAAAGTGCAAAATTTTCTCAAAGACATCTAAAGGAAAGTCTCTTTATCATTGCTTACAATGTAGCATTCTGGACACACCACAAAGCAGGTGGGAGGAACTGAAGAAGAAGGGGAGTAAAAGCTGGAAAATCATTCTAATTCCCCATTTACTGGTGCACCTCGCCCTCATTCCATCACTTACTCACCAAAGATTTATAAAGCCTTATTATCAGCTTGATGGCTAATGCCTACATTTTGGAGCTAAGGGGTATATAGAAAGTCTTTCCTGTGATTCTTTTTCATATTTTTTAAATATAGGCACACATACTTTATTACAGCATTGTTTGTAAAGAACAAAAGGTTACAACAGCAAACAAAGTGAATGGCTATTAAGTGTCTTTTAAAATGGAAAGAGATACAGATGTCTGTATACACACAGAATATTTAGAGGTTACACATGAAATGTTTAAGAGTTACTGCTTCAAAGGAAGGAGTCTGGAAAACAGAGCCAGGGAAGGTAAAGTTACTTTTCACCAAATATTCGTTTAACTTTGTAAATTTTTTGTCCCATGTACATCTATCATCCATTAAAACGGCAAATGAAAATGAAAAATTTAATACCTATCCTTCAGAATTCATAGTAAAGTTAGAAAGACACAGAAACAAACTAATTAAACGTGAGGCAACATCAGTGTACATGAAAGTCCAACACAACAGGAGGGGGCCAGGGGCAATCTGAAGTATGTATGTTTAGGTACGGAATCTGTCTTATGGATGGAAGTTATAAAAGTAAGTTAAGAGCCTTTCTACAAAGATGGCACCAAAAGCGAAGAAGGAAGCCCCTGCCCCTCCCAAAAGTGAAGCCAAAGCAAAGGCGTTAAAGGCCAAGAAGGCGTCCTGAAGGGCATCCACAGCTACAAAAGAAAGAAGATCTGCGCGTCACCCACCTTCCCACGGCCTAAGACGCTGAGACCCACAAATGCAGCCCCAATACCCCAGAAGAGCACCCCTGGGCAAACAAGCTTGACCACTAGGCTACCCTCAAGTCTCCCCTGACCACTGAGTCAGCCATGAAGGAGACAGATGATAACAACACACTTGTGTTCACTGTGGATGTCAAGGCCAACAAGCACCAAATCAAACAAGCTGTAAAGAAGCTCTATGACACTGATGTAGCCAAGGTCAACACTTTGATCAGGTCTGATGGAGAGAAGAAGGCCTGTGTTCGACTTGTTCCTAACTATGATGCTTTGGATGTTGCCAACAAAATTGGGATCATCTAAACTGAGTCCAGTTGGCTAATTCTAAATACAAACCTTTCTCACAAGAAAAAAAAAAAAACCAAAGTAAGTTAGAACTATTATTTAGACCCTCAGTAAAGTAACACTGTCAAACTCAAGACTTCACGAACTCCTTACCCTGTTATTGTTGACTCTGTAGAGCGCTGAACTATCAGTGATGGATGTCTGCGTATCTCTGTAAAGTCCAGTTAACAACTGTAAAAGACAAGATGGAAATAAACACATTAGCATTGTCGTTGTATACAGTCAAGTCAGAAGCACATCAAAGCAGGGTTTCAGAGGCAATGAACTGTGGGAGACAGCCCATCTTCTCCCCGCCAAGAAGCTATGAATTCAAACCAGGTGCCTTTGAGTGGGCAGCCAAACTCCTTCCCACTTCTCCACAAAAGCTTCATAAAACACATTACTAGTTAATCTAAAAAGAGCACTGTTGTTCTTGCTCTCTCCTGATTAAAATTTTAAAAGGTGGATGCTAAATTAAAAAAAAAAGTGGATGCTGATTGCAAATCTCTTATAAAATAACTCAACTGATTAGTCCCAGAAGAAGTAGTAATTACAGATTAAGCAGAGGTCACTGAATCCTGTTTCTTCAGTGCTCTGGCATCCTTAGACGCAGAGTGAAAGGAACGAGGGTCTAGAAAACTAAATGCTGGGACACAACAAGTGTAAGACAGCAGAAGCAGTTAACCAATTCCATTTCTAGTTTATGGCTTTTTCCATGGTCCTTTTTTTTGTTCTCCTCAAATAATCAGGAATTAAACTCCCAAGTTTGCTAGCATCAGTTTCTTTGAATTTTCTTTTTCATCAGCTGAAAGAAGTAGTAGGATGTCCTAAAATTCCCTAATAAATTCAACGAAGGGAAGAGGTGACAAAAAACCACTTACCCTGATAAACAGTAATGTCTTCCCCGAGTCACAAAGGCCAACCAGGAGGACAGCTCTCTGACTGCTTCTTCTGCTGCGGATGAACTTCCAGAACACTGCAGGGCAGACAGAAAAACAACCACATGCTTAGTGATCAAAAAGTTTGCATGAACGGATGGGAGGGAGAGTGGGAATCACTATGAAAACAATTCATCACAAAGATGACACACACACCACCTTGCTTGCTGAAAGTGAAAAGGACTTGAAGCAATTGCTGAAGACGATCAAAGCCTTCAATACTGATAACACCTCAACATCAAGAAGACAAAAATCCTCCCACCGATAGGGGAACATTATGACAGAGGAAGAAAAGATTGAAGTTGGCAACGATTTCATCTGATTCAGATCCGTAATCAACACCCTCAGTAGTAGCAGTCAAGAAATCAAAAGACGTATTGCAAAAAACAAACAATTTTTTTTTCCCTCTGGTGGCCTAGTGGCAAGAAGCTGCACTTCAATCCCAGAAGTAAGTGGTTCGAATCCACCAGATGCTCTGCTGGAGAAGGAGGGGCAATCTCCTCCTGTACCAGTCAGATCTGATTTGATGGTACACACACACACACATACAAAATAATAATAATAATAAAAAGACAGCTGCATTGGGAAAATCTGTCTGCCATCAAGAAGCTCCCTCCCCACAATGCTAACAAGTAATGATGTCACTTTAAAGAGTAAAGTACGCTTCCACCGGAGGCCTACACGCCGCCCTCTCTAGTGATCCCAGAGAAGTTGCAGCACATTTTGTGAGTACTCAACACTAACATCGATGGGCGGCAGGAAAGAGCCTTTGCCATCACTGCCAGGAAGGGTGCAGGGCGAAGATATGCTCATGTGGTGTTGAGGAAAGCAGACACTGACCTCACCAAGAGGGCAGGAGAGCTTACAGAAGAGGAGGTGGAGCGTGTGATCACCACTATGCAGAATCCACCCCACTACAAGATTCCAGACTGGTTCTTGAACAGACAAAAAGACGTGAAGGATGGGAAACAGAGCCAGGTTCTGGCCGATGGTCCGGACAACAAGCTTTGTGAAGACCTGGAGCGACTGAAGAAGATCTGTGCCCACAGAGGGCTACGCCACTTTTGGGGCCTTCAAGTTCGAGGCCAGCACACCAAGACCACTGGCCATATGGCCTACTGTGCGTGTGTCCAAGAAGAAATAAGTCTGTAGGCCTTATCTGTTAATAAATAGTGTATACACCTTCAAAAAAAAGGAGTAAAGTGTAAAGTGCACCTGATCCAGGCCATGGTCTTTGCAATTAATCACTATGCAACCAACAGGTAATAAGGATAACAAAAGAACTGACACCTCTGAATTGGAGCTTTCCAGAAGAGTCCTGAATATCCCATGGACTGCCAAAATAAGGAACAGGTAAGTGTTGGAGAAGGTGCAGCCAGCGTGCTCCTTCAGGTGAAGGACGGTGACATGACACTTCATCTCACAATCTTTGGGCATGCCTGTTAGGAGGGCCGGTTCTTGGGGAAAAGACATCAAGCTGGGAAAGGCAGAGGGTCAGCAAAAGAGAGGGAGACGCTCAACAAGATGGACTGACAGTGACTGTAACCGGAGTAACACATCTGTCAGAGCGGATGAGGACGGCACAGGACAGGGCAGAGCTGAGGTCTGTTACTCAAAGGCTCACAAAGAGTGCTGGTCAATTCCATGGCTTCTAACACCAGGAACAGCAAAGCAGCTCATTCTCCTGAAAACTTACTTTCATAAACGTATAATAGCTATTCCGCTATTATTAGTGTTCCTACTGTAGTCAGTGTGTCCCGATTACTACCAACCACACTCAGCTTTTCAGGGTCCACACCACCCACCCACATGGCGTGTTCAAGTGTCATCGTGCCCTGCCCCGTGTTCCCCAAGGCCCAGCTCGCAAACACAGGGAGTTCCAAAGTCGTGGAAGGCCCGACTCTCAGCAGCAAATGCAATAGAAGGTGGGTGCACGCATGACAGCGGCCGCTAATGGAAAAATACTAACTCGTGCTACTATATGGTCGGACGTCGCCAAGGATCATCGTGCAGCTCAAGGGGGGCAAGGGATGGTAAAATGGGTGAGTCTCCCTCTCTCGGGGTCCCCACGATGTGTCCCCATGGCCCTGCACCCCGCACAGGCAGAGCCGAGGCCCGAACCCGCGCCGCACCCACCCTCGCCAACAGCCGGCCGCTTACCCAGCGTCAGCAGCACCGCGATGAACGCCACCACCACCGACACCAGCGCGGGGTCCCTCTGCTGAAGCTCCTGCCGCAGTGAGTCGAGGTAGGGCTGGAAGCCTCCGCCGGCACCGCCTCCATCCCGGAGTCGCTCGGAGCCCGCAGCGGCCATGGACAGTCAGATCTCTGACCCACCAACACCCTCGCCAAGAAGGCCACGTGGCCCTGCGCTCTGCGCAGGCGTGAGAGCGGTGGCTCACGGGAGTGGTAGTTCCTGGGGCGGCAGGTCGGATAAAGGCCTGCTGGGAGTTGTAGTTCGCTGTGACACATGCCTCTATCCAACTAATGGGACCAGCCTATTAAACCAACTCACTGCTGGCCAATCATTTATACACTGAGGCTGTTAATATTTTTTCTTTTCTTTTTTTTTTAAATTGACCTGCAGATAGTAATCGGTTCACATTATGTTTCTCTCGTTTACATTGTGTTTCATTTACATCGTGGGCCTTTTTTTCTTTTTTTTTAAAAATATTTCACTAATTTTAATGAACATTTACAGAAACTTCGGATTTTCATTCATTCATTGTTGCACTTTTTTCTTTTATAGACAGATAACTGAGATTTCCAGCCAGGCCAGATTGTAACCTTGAGCCTCAGTTAGAGGCTGCTTCATACTATAGTGCACATGGCTGATGCTTTTGGGGTCTCTTATAAGTGCATCTGGTTCAGGCCATGGTAATTCCAATCACTTGCTATGCATTTGAGAGCTGGACAATGAATAGGCATGACTGAATAATTGATACCATTGAGTTGTGATACTGGAGAAGAATATTGAACATCCCATGGACGTCCAAAAGAACAAATAAACATGTCTTGGAGAGGGCACAGTTGGAGTTCTTTGGAGGCAAGGACAATGAGGCTTTATCTCACATACTTTGGACATGTAGATAAGAGGGGCTATTCCTTGGAGAGGGACATGATACTGGGAAGGGTGGAAGGTCGAAGAAGGAGAGGAAGATCCTCAACCAGGTGAATTGGAAGATCCTCAACCAGGTGAATTGACGGAGTGAGGGGAGCTCTGGTGGCCTAGTGGCAAGAAGCTGCAACTACAATCCCAGAGGTGCACGGTTCGAATCCACCAGATGCTCTGCCGGGGAAGGAGGGGCAATCTCCTCCTGTACCAGTCAGATCTGATTTGACAGTACACGCACACAAAAATAATAAAATTTAAAAAAATAGAAAAAAAAAAAAAGACGGAGTGAGCGCTAGTGTGTCAGGAAATGTGAAGATGGCACAAGATAGGACAGGGTTCAGATCTGTTGTCCATAAGGTGGCTGTGAGTCATACTAGATTCAACGACACCTAACAACAACCCTGGGAGAAAAAGGAAGGTGGCCTTAGCCACAGCTGTCATGGTTTAAAAGTGTCTCCTGTCCATTCACTCAGATTTGGACTCACACATGGGTGTCAGAGCAATGTGGAGGACAAGAGACACCAAGATGGTTTACTAGGCAACACTTGACTGGAGTTTATGGGGAAGTATCAACACTCACTCCTTCCCGTCTGTCTCCCCCCAAAGTGCTCGTGCCTTCACATTTCACATTTGTCTTTGTTATCTGTCATTGTTAGGTGCTGTTGAGTTGAGTTTGACTCATGGTGACCCTGTGACCAACAGCCCTGAACCCTGCCTCATCACATTCCATCCTCATTGCTGCAGACACTGTGTCAATCAAGAGAAACCACAAGTGGATGGCTTTACAACCAACAGAAATGTAAGCTATTTGAGAGGCTAGATAGAGGGTTGCAGCCTAAGGGAAGACCTTCTAGCAACATCAGGTGTGGGGCAAAGTCCTTGTTTCTTTCCACATTTTGTGGTGTGGGCCTGTTGTTCCCTGAGGACCTCCATGTGTCTGGCCTTTCATGGTGTCAATGACCCAGAGGCCCAAGCTGAAAAAAGACTATTTTCAAATAGCCTTTGACTATGTAGTCTTTAAACAATAAATAAATAAAATAAAGTTTTTATTTTATGCTGGTTGACGTACAAAGTTCGTATACATTGTTTTTCACACTGAATCTTTCCCATTTCCTTTACCCACTCTGCTTCTATCCATCAAATTGTGAGACCCTACAGTTAGCCTCCTGCCTATCCTCACCCCTCTGTTCCTACCCTCCCGCCCCACTTGGATCCTCATACATGTTTTACTAGTTATCTTTCTATTTCTATGACTATGGTCTTCTACAGTATTTGTCCTTATGGGACTAAGTGTACTGTGTAGTTTTGTCGGAGTATTTCCATTTTTTGTTGTTGTTATGTGTCTTTGACTCACCTGTGACTAATGGCGACCTCTGCCCTGTCCTGAACCAGACTCTGTCTCTGACACACCTAACCTTATACAAAGAGAACTGAGCCCCCTCCAACTCAATTCATTTCCCTTCTTTTTGATGTCTAGTGAGATAAAATTAGTTGCCACATTCTACGGGTACCCCCCCCCCATATCTGATTAGGACTATGATGAATTGGGAAAGACACCCTCTGACCCTTAATCCTCCTACAACTAGTTGTTGTTGTTTGTTTTGGTTTCATTTTTTTTTTTTTTTTTTACAACTACTTGGAAGCAGGAGTGGCATCTACTTTCTAAACAAGGTGCCTCTGGAAACTCTATGAACTTAGAGAAATGATGATAGTTATAGAACAGGGTTCAGGTCTTTTGTTTGTAGAGTCGCTATGAGTTGTGCTCGACTTATTGGCAATCAACAACAACAATTAAATTTGTTTTATCAGATTATGTAGGATTATTCTATGGTTTCCACATTATACCATTATGTAAACTATTTTTGGAAGAGGGCACAATTCAATCCATAACACTCAAGGACAATCTCTTTTCTGCTAATCAAAGAAGTTGTGTTTCTTTTGCTTCTAAATGTCCTGATATTGTCAAAAGAGTGGAGAGTTTTCAGGACATATTTCCTCATTCCTTAAGATAAATCATTTCCTAATACCAGGAGTCAGAATATGCATATTATTTCATTTTCAAATTTTTCCTTAGCAATCATTTGAAAAACAGTTAAAGTAGCTTATTTGTTTTTAGTATGGAAATCACATATGAAGGTATGAAAGTAGATAATTAGAACCTCTTGAAGATTAAATCTCTACGTAATTCATCTAGAAAAGTAAAAGAGAATCAGCAAATTAGCAAAAGAATATTTGTTAGTGATACATCTGATAAGGGGCTTATCTCTAAAATTCATAGAAAATGCCAATATCACAACAAGAAAAGCACAAAAACTCCCATAAAGGGCAGAGAAATGGCTTGTCCTCATTACACACCCAAAGTATGTTAGATGAGGTTTCACACTCCTCGACTTGAAGGAGCACTTGTGTTGCACTTTCTCCAAGGCAGATTTGTTTGTTCTTTTGGCAGTCCATGAGATATTCAATGTTCTTCACCAACACCCCAATTTAAAGACATCAATTTTTGATGATGATGATGATGATGACGATGTCTTCTTTACCCATTCTCCAACTTTGAGAAGCATAGGAAGCAATTGAAAGTACCAACACTTGGATAAGATGCACCCTACTTAGTCTTTTAAACTGATTTCCTCACATGTTAACACCTTATAAAGCTCCTTGGCAGCAGATTCCCCAGTGCAACATATCTTTTTGATTTTTTGACTACTGCTACCATGGGTGTTGATTGTGAATTCAAATAAAATTAAATCATTGACAACCTCAGTCTTTTCTCCGTCTAGCATGATGTTGCCTATTGCTCCAGGGGTGAGGATTTTTGTTTTTCTGATCTACTCCATATTGAAGGCTATCGTCTTTGACCTTCAGCAGCAGGTGTTTCAAGTTCTCTTCGCTTTCAGCAAGTAAGGTTGTGTCATCTGCACAACACAGATTGTTGATGAGTCTTCCTCCAGTCCTGATGTTCCATGCTTGCTTCTTCATGTCGTCCAGAGTCTCAACTGATTTGCTCAGCATGCAGATTGAATAGTAGAGAAAGGATACCACCTTGCTTGAGTCATACGTTTCCAGATTTTTAAAAAAATGACATTGTGTGTGGGTGTGTGTGGGTGTGTGTGTGTACTGTCAAATCAGATCTGACTGGCACAGGAGGAGATTGACCCCTCCTTCTCCAGCAGAGCATCTAGTGGATTCGAACCGCGTACCTCTGGGATTCTTGCCACTAGGCCACGTTTTCAGCTTTTAAATCATGCAGTACTCCCTTGTTCTATTCAGACAGTGGCTTCTTGATTTAGGTGGTATACCAATTGATATATTTCAGTTAACAGATGCTGCCCTGGACATGCTCACCAAGTTGTGCTAAGAAATCTGGAGAACGACCACTTGGCCAACTGACTGGAAGAGATCGATATTTGTTCCTATCCCAAAGAAAGGCGAC